AACCATTTGACCTCTTTAAGGGAATCAGACATAGCACGATATTCAGCCTCAGCGGAGGAATGTGACACCGTATCTTGTTTCTTTGTCTTCCAGCTGATAGGAGAATCTCCAAGGAACGTAACGTATGCTGTAAGAGACCGACGGGTTTCAGAGCAGGCGGACCAATCCGAGTCACAGTACACGGTTAAAGACATGTCTTTCGACGAGCTCAACATAATTCCCTGACCGGGAGCACTCTTTAAAAATCGCACAATACGGAGGGCTGCCTCCCAATGAGCTTCTTTGGGAGACTGCATAAACTGAGAAAGAACATGCACTGAATAGCTTAACTCGGGTCGGGTATGAAGGAGATACAAAAGACGACCAACAAGTCTTCGATACTTGCGCGGGTCAGGCAGAAGAGGACTTTCAACTTTGCCAAGGTGATGATTCTGTTCAAGAGGAGTCGCAGCCGGCCTGCTACCAAGATTTCCCGTGTCTGCAATAATATCCAAAGTGTACTTGCGCTGAGAGAGAAAGAATCCTTCTGGACCACGGCTGACTTCAATGCCGAGAAAATACTTTAATTTCCCCATGTCCTTCATAGAGAAACACTTGCTCAAGTAGTCTTTGAATTTTTGCACCATACGACTATCATTGCCACTGATAAGCAAGTCGTCCACGTAAATTAATACGCAAAGTTGAATGCTTTTACGATTGTAACAAAACAACGAAGAATCATCATAAGACTGAACAAAACCAAACTTCAGGAGCGCATCTGAGAGCTTTTTAAACCAACATCTTGGAGCTTGCTTAAGACCATACAAAGATTTCCGAAGGCGACAGACTTTATTGGGATGGGAGTGTCGAAAACCAGGCGGGAGTTTCATGTACACTTCTTCTTCGAGATCACCATGAAGAAAAGCGTTGTTAACATCCATTTGAAATACTTCCCACTGGTTTGCTGCAACCAAACGGAGAAACATACGGACAGAGGTCATCTTAATAACAGGAGCGAAAGTCTCGTTATAGTCTTCCCCTTCGACTTGCTTGTTTCCGCACACAACAAGACGAGACTTGTGGCGCCTTATCGTACCATCTGGATTGTATTTGATCTTATAAACCCACTGAATTCCAAGTGCAACTTTGCCTGGTGGGAGCTCACATACGTCCCACGTGTGTTGACCTTCGAGAGCAACCACTTCGAGGACCATAGAATCATCCCACACGTCGATCCAAACAGCTTCGCAAAAGTGTTTAGGTTCGACACCAGCTGTAATAGCAGCTAGAAAATCTTGTTGTGGGTGAGTAAAGTTAGAGTCAGAGACATACTTAGTCGATGGGTATAGTGAGTTACCTTGGATCGAAGCCGAGAACTCAGATTTGGACGTAGCGAGAGCGAGATGGGGACTTAACACGGAGCTTGGAACTGGAGTATTGTAGGTGACATAATCCTTGAGTTTTACCGATGGAACATGTTGTCGTTTGCCCCGACCAAGTTCTGTTTCTTCAGAAGACGGACTATCTGTCAAATCAGCTGCCGTAGTAGTTACTTCTTCCTCATCCTCAACACTCTGTTCTGTTACAGTTTCTTCTTGCATAGCTTCAACTTCACCCGTGCCAGCATCAGGTTCGAGTGGTTGTTCGTCATCAACCTGAACTACAGGTTGCAAACTCCCCCTGTCCAGAGACTCCACCGGACCCTCGATCACAGTAAAATCCCAGTCCTCATCAATATTTTCAACCGGTATTGCTGATGGAGCTGGGAAGGCTTTAGCTGCATATGGGAATACATCTTCTCGAAAGACAACATCGCGAGAGACCAAGAACTCATTGCTCTCAGTATCAAAAACTTTGTAACCCTTTTTGCCGAAGGGATATCAAACAAAAACACATAGGCGACTTCTCTCTCCAAATTTATCTTTGCTTCGAGAATGCCGATGAGCATAACAAGCAGACCCAAAAACTCGTAGCTGTGTATAATCAGGTGCACAGCCGTGAAGAATTTCATACGGAGTGCGACCTTTATGAATTAAACTTGGCGTCCGGTTTATCAGATAAGCAGCCGTGAGAACTGCTTCTCCCCAGAAAGTGATCGGCAAACTCGACTGAAAGAGCAAAGCTCTAGACATGTTAAGAATGTATCTGTGTTTTCTCTCAACGCAACCATTTTGTTGAGGCGTCGCTACACAAGAGGTCTGATGCACGATCCCAACCTCGCGAAAATATGAGGAGAGACACATAAACTCTGTGCCATTATCACTCCTAACCACTTTGACAACTTTACCAAATTGTTTCTCGGCGTATGCGATGAAGTTTTTGAGAATGGTCCGAACTTCAGACTTCTCGAGCATCAGATACGTCCAGACGGCTCGAGAAAAATCATCTACAATCGTGAGGAAGTATACAGCACCACAAGATGAAGGAATGCGATACGGTCCCCATACATCAACATGAATTAAAGCAAAACAATCATCTGATTTATTAGAACTGTCTGGAAAAACTTCACGAGTTTGTTTAGCTCGAAAACATACGTCACAAGGACGAGAGCTTTTATTGGTAGATGAAAACATAGGTAAAGTACAAAGCACAGAAAAGCTAGGATGTCCTAAACGTTGATGCCACAATGACTGATCAGAAGACGCGTCGACCGTGTGTATCTTCACTGTAGCCACATCCGTTAAGTAGTAAACCCCATCACGCTTTTCACCGGTTCCAATCAGAGTCCTCGAGAAACGGTCCTGTAAAACACAAATAGTATCAGTGAAAGTGGAAAAACAACTTGTTTGCTTCAAGATTTTCGACACCGAAATCAAAGTGCAGTTCAGCGACGGCACATATAAGACATTAAGCAACGACACTTTCTCCGATAAAGGAAGTTCGCCCATGCTTACTGCAAAGGTACGGCTACCATCTGCGAAACCTATTGAACATGCCGGTATAGAGACAAGGTTTTGCAGAAGCGAGAGCTTCCCAGTCATGTGATGTGAAGCTCCAGTGTCTAAGATAACATTACCAAATTTTCCCTTACCAGACAATTTGTCGGAACTTGACTTCTCTTGGATCATTTGAGTGAGAACCTTCCACTGATCTTGATTGAACTCGGAAAAGGAGGACGAGTGGGAGCTAGTTGCATGAGCCGATGTTATCTGACCTTTTCCTCTTCCAGAGCTTGAGCCACGACCATGTCCTCTTCCTCTCGTAGAACCAGCACGATCGTTACGTTCATTTCACCACTCGGGAAAGCCAATCAGTTGCCAGCACTCCTTTTTCTCATGTCCTCGGCGCCCACAATGAGAGCACGACGTTACCCGACTGTTCCGAAGAATCGAAGAATCCGAGTTGGAATCACCACGAGAAACATTCTCAACTTGACGAGTAGCAAAACCTATTGCTTCTTGTTGCTGCTCGCGACCACGAGCCGACTCATCCTCTGCTCTTCTTGTACGACTTTCGAATAAATTTATCCAATGGACGGTAATGGATCTGTGCCTATCAAGGAAGTGCAGAGACTCCCAAACCTAGCATCGTCAAGACCCATAATAAACTGATGAACCTTATCATCGTCTTTTTCTTTTCTGATCTCCTTTTCCGCACCACAGGTACACAACGGCAACGGTTGATAGACGTCAATTTCTTCCCACAATGTGCACAACCTTCCATAATACTCAAGAACACTCTGTCCTTCCTGTCGACACGCAGCCAATTGTGCCTTGATCTGATGAACGCGGACTTTGTTTCCCACAGAGAAGCGTTGCTTCAGCTCGGTCCACAACTGACTCGCCTCATTGACGAAGGTAACAGAAGATTTGATCTTTGGGTCAATAGCAGTTCGAATCCACCCGATGATCATGGAGTTAACTGCGATCCAATTGTCATAGTTGGGATCATCTTGCACCGGTTTCTTCAAGCTTCCATTGATAAAGCCAACTTTCCGCTTAGCCTGTAGAGCATTGAGCATCTCGTTGGCCCACTGATTGTAATTCTCACCGGTCAGAACAACCGACGTGATCTTGGCTCCGGGGTTGTCTGAACCAAACAGTGCATACGGAGAGGCTGGCACCAAGGCATCACCGGCGACCTTTCCTGTGTCGTCTCTTCCTTCTTTCGTAATAGAACTCTCATCGGACATCGTCACTGATGAAACAAGACTTGTTCAAACTATGAACGGGAACACACACAATTTTGAGTTAAGAATTTTAGAGGAGTCTTAGCTCTGATACCATGTAGAATTAGATATCAAACTGACTTATGTATTAAGTTTATGCAGACAACGTATGTATACAAAGATCAATGACGGTTTAACAATAACCGTTTAGGAAATTATACTTATCTCTAACCTAGAGAATATAGAAAACTAAACATTTATTTCCTAATCAGAATATACGATATAGTTATATTGACATATTTGTCTATATCGTAATAATATATATTGACCACCATATGATTAGCCATGCAAACTAAACTAATGTATACTTAACTACACAAAATATATTTTATGCATGGTATCATCCCTCAACTTAATAATGTTATGTAACTAAGATCGTAAGCTTAATTTCGTTAATCAAAAAAGTGACGTGGATGTCAAAGACGTTAAATCTGTTAATTCTCTATTTAATCAAATTCAAATTTGACTCACCCGAAAATAGAGAAGCTAATTCGCAACCGCATCTCTTCGTTGCGATACACCCATAATCATCCCTTATCGGATATGATGGGTCGATGGTTTGAAGTTCACTTAGAATAAAAATTCACATTTTTTCATTCCTTTCATCATAGCTTTAGTCAATATTTTTTATATCTCTGTAAATGTGCAATCTTATGATCAATAAATTTGGTAGGGAAATTTGGCCCTATGACTTAAAAAAAAAGTACACAAACTCAAAGTATTTAATAAATCAAAGAATAATAATGCATTATGGCAATGGAAAATAATCAAAATATCACTTTCCTCACTATTCATCCCTTTTCCACTAAACCTTTTAAATTAGCTTATATTTTGTACATTTATTTTTCCAAACCTATAGTAACAGAATCAAAACAACCAACAGAGCATAACCGATAACATTCCCCGACAAGAATCTCCCTGATACGCCGCCGTTTAAAGAATCTTTCAGCTCCGTCAGTGAATCCAACCGTAATTTTGGATTCGCCCCATATAACTTGAGTATACCTGCCACGTCATCAACCGCAAGGTCAACCTTCTTGGTCCTTGGCCGGATGGTCGGATACATAACCGCTAACTTGTGCGAGCTATGTCCTAATCCCAGCAAGTGACCAATCTCGTGAGTCGCCACCGACTCCAAGTCAACTGCAACCTTTGATCCGAAGTCTCCGTTGACGACCCATGTCTCCGCCGCGTCGAAGTGGACTTGTCCGTTCTTTGGCGCAAAGGCGTGTGCTAAAGTCCCGAGGACTCCGTCAAACGGCAGCTCGTCATCGTGATCGCCGACGAAAAATCCAATCTTTAAATTGGCCGTCGTGTAATCTTCAACCTCCTCGAAACTCACAGGAATCACGCTCGCCCAGTGCCCGAACGCTCGTCGGAAAGCCGCTTTGACCTCGTCGGATGTGAGGTAATCGAGTTTGTGTGTTTTCGAGAAGGCGTACGTTAGTCTGTCGCTGTTCCACTTTGGCTCATCACCGAAGTACGTATAACGCGCCGTTGTGTGTAGACTGTTGTTGTTGATCATGTGTGTGTCGCTAACGCCACATCGCGGTGACGACATGAGAGTGACTGTACTCGTGTCGAGTCTCCCGGTTATCGGTAAACCGAGATTTTGCTGGTACAGAGAGATTGCGGACTGGAGATGACCATCGAACACGTCGGAGAAGTTCTTGGAGCCATCAGTACCGTAATCTTTGACGTAACCGAAGCGGTGGAGGTATCTTTTGAGCTCGGATACGCCGCTGACGTGGCTGCCTAGCTGGACGTCTATTAGACGTGAGAAATCATGCCGCGTGGCGTTGCTGACTTTGATTGTTTGAGTTGCGTTTGTTGTATATTCCTCCGGTTGATTTCTGGCGGAGAGCCTGCGAGGGAAGCAGAATACGAGAACGTAGAGGATGATTAAGACAAAACAGAGACCTCTGTTTCTATGGATTAAATTCTGAGTCATAGCCAGTAAACCGCACGAAAATTGTATGCGCGTGGTTCAAAAATTCTGAAAGTTTTAATTTTAAATAAGAAGTTCTTAGGAAGTAGGATCGATAGAGAAGAAAGGCGAAAGAGGGATAGAAAAAGGGGGAAGAGTTATACAGATTCTGACGTGAGGATTACCTTTAAATTCAAAAGGAATCTAGAATTTGGACTAGGACTTGGAAGTTGCTTCGGTTGGTCAACTGAATCATGTCCGGTTTAGGAATACAATGTGAGGATCCCTGTTTAATCCGATTTAGTATAGTACAACTAATAATCCGATTTAGTATCTATATTATTAAAACTCAAATACTTTTTGATACTGCTTGGAAACAAAGATAGTAATATTAAAAAGAATTATGTTTGGAAACATGAATAGCAAATTAAGTACTTCTTTTTTACTTGCACATTTAGTCATTCTTTTTACAATAAATTAAATTCTTTCGTTTTGTATTTTTTTTATTTACTGATTCTGTCATTGCATTTGAATTAATAAAAACTAATCAATTACAATGGTTTTTTTTTTTGGTGAAAAGAAAAACACAAATTGAAATATAAATATAGTATTACCTTATTTGATTTAGTTAAATATAAAATTTCGAGAGTTCAGTTTAAAAAAAAAATCATAAAATTAATGATAATTTATAGAAAACAAATGGAAAAAATAATTTTTACTATATTGTTTCATTTTAAAATAAATTAACAAACCAAAACAACATGTTATACATTACATAAAATTGCATCAAGTTATAAAATTTCTAATATAATATTATGTACAAATAAAATATATTATTAAACGTTTAAATTATAAAATAATATATTTTAATCTATATGTAAATTACTAAACATAAAAAAAACATAATGTTTTTTATAAAACAATGATTTATGAATTTATATTGAACAAAAATTAAATCAAACACCCGCACCCCCGTGCGGGTCAAGTTCTAGTATTATTTAAAACATAATCCTCCACAGATTAACTTTAGATGTGCATGCATGCTTTTATTTATGACAAACCATATCCCCTATATATTAAAAGAGAAACATTTGAAAAATTGTAACCTCAATTTTGTAATAATTAAAAAAGAACACATGCTTAGGTGTCACTCAATTAGGTAATCAATTACATTCAGTTGAAAAATAAGTAGGTCCACATTTGATTTTTATATGTCACTAGATACATTTGTTAATCAAACTATATGATATGATATTTATGATAGAAGCATTTATGATTGTTCCACTAGATATAATTACTATTTTATTTTCTTTCCTTAAATAAAACCTACGGAATTACTATAAATGACTAATCCATATATATGACAATTAATGTTTCTAATAATAAATATTTGATAACAATTTATATTTCCTCCATCATTTTTCTTTAATTTTATACTAGGTGACTGGTCCGCACTGTGTGCGCGCATATGATATCTAAAAAAAATAAAATTACAGTGTTTAGATTTAGAAGTTGTGAGAGAAAAAAATCACTGTGTTCAGTGATTCCGGGCGACGGAGTGGGCTTCCACAGCCACCGTCGGTAAGACTTTAGATTGTCCTTGGTTTTATTTCTCGTTTATAGATCTTTAGTAGAGAAGGTTTGGTGTATCTCTTGTTTTGGTTTCAACATGGTGGTGTTTTTATTCTGGGAGGCAGAGGCTTAACAGATCCGCCGAAGAGTGTATCTACATTAGGATTTTCTTAATTTTAGGTTTCTGGTCCATGTCAGTTTTTATTGTAATGTCCTTTTGTTATGGGTTTTGGTGATTGTGTATCTTGGGCTTTGATCTTTTATTAATCAAATTAAGATGGCAAAAAAAAAAATATTTAGAAGTTGTGTATCCTACTATATTGTCAATAAGTGAAATTGTGTTGTATATAAGTCTTTTATTTAGAAGTTACCTAAAGTTTGTCTGTATATCTCATTTGTCCTTAGCTTTGTTTGTTTTGCAAATATTTTGCCTTGAAACGCATGTAACTATTCATTATTGATTGTTTAATTAAATTGTATTTCACAATTTACAGAAATAGATAGTAGGATAATATAGTTTCTTCCAACTATTTATTAGGTGTTAATCAAAAAGTAATTGCAAGAGATATAATGTTATTTTCTTTGAGGAAATAGATAATAATTAAAGCCAATAAAATAAGAAACCAAATCCAAGAAATAATAGTAAGTGAACTAGTATTCAACAAAAAAAAGAATAGATTCTTCTTCCATTTCTCCAGCTTCACTTGCTTTTGACTTTTTTTAGAGTGTTTTTTGTTGACAGAGAACTGATCCTCACAGCATTGTCTCGCGCTCTTATTGTTTTTAGAGTGTTTTTTTGTTTTTTAGACAAAAGAGTTGGTAAAAACCACAAGAACCCTCGGATATTTCCTTTAAAATTGCAACAGTAAAACCTTTTGAAGAGAAAAGAGATTTGAAATGAGATCTCTTGCCAATGTGAATGTAAACATTTTAATATTAAACAATGTTAAATCGGTTTAGGAGGTAATGATGCAAACTCTTATCTTAGCATTCACAAAAGTTTTATAGAGAATCTCACCACATATGAAAAAAGTCAAGCATATTACGATTGTCCTCTAGGGTGCTGATCCTCAACATCATTGCCTCGCTCTTATTGGCTTTTTCTGTTAGACAAAGGAGTTGTTGTAGAACCCCCAAAAATCCTCAGATATTTACTCTGAAGACTACAACATTAAAGCCTTTTGAAGAGAAAAGAGATTTGAAATGAAATCTTTTGCCAACATGGTTGTAAACATTTTAATATTTTTCTAATAATAAGAATAGTAACGGTTCAAGAGGCAAAGTTAAAAATAGTTTCATTTCTTACTTCTTTATCAGCAAATACCATTTGAATAGTGTCTCCGGTCTCTTTGCTAGAATTATTTCACAGACAAATATCTTAGCTTCGATGTACCATGTATCTATTTGAACCATTGCCATTGTTTTTTTTTTTTTGAATTATCAACGTAGCTTTAATGTTTGTAGTGTAAGACCCTGACCAACTTTATGTATCTCCAACTTCCATGTTTGAGAGTTATTAGCATAATATATTTATATGCCTTATACTAAATTTCCAAAGATACGTACATTAAAATGGCGAAGGAGTTTGTGGGAATGCATTACTAAATTGCTATAATGTGGTGGAAGCACCCTAGCCTATTGGTTAAGGTTTAAAAGCTTTTACACCAGGTCTGGGGTTCGAATCCCAGACTATGCAGTTTCTACCAAGAAGGTTTAAATTCTCGGAGAAGGTGAATGGCGAATTATGCAGATTGGAGAAAAGACTTACAAGAGATCTTTAGCATGGCGCAAGGCGTACCGTCGGGCATTGATCTCATAGGGCGGTTCAGGATGATGCAGTCAGACGTGAATCCGCATAAGGCAGGTAGAATTGTCGGCTATAATATCGTCTTAGTAATATTTCTCATAATTTGTAATGCATAATTAACTAGTGTTAAAAAAAATTGCTATAATGTGGTTCTCAATAATTGCATATATGAACTATCACAAGTAATTTAGAACAAAAAAAATATTAAAACTTAAGGAATTAACTAATAAGGAATATTTAGAAAAATTAAATACAAATAAAATCACATTTGAATTCGAACATTTAATGTATAGTAGTAATATTTACGAATTAAAGTGTAAGAGTAAAAATGAATATCACCTAGATTAAAACTAATCATGAAACAGTTTACAGAAAAATATTATAGCTATATTGCTATAATTAGGTTTACAATAATTTCTAAGTGAACTATCGCAAGCAATTTAGCACAATAAGGACTAATAACAATTCATGAATTAACTAATAATGAACATGTTGAAAAATGTACATTTAATGCAATATCATTTGTATAGACTTTTATACTATACAGTAGCAATTACAAATTAATGACCAAGTAATAAGGAATCTTACTTAGATTTGCATATATTTTTGTTATACGAAAATTATATTTTGATATTGGTTAGTTAAATGTACACTTAATTGATATTTCCTAAGAAAATCATATCATATAGTTTGAAAGTGGTTTATTTAAAGATTTTCAACTGTATTTAAAATTAAGTAAAAATAATTAATTACAATTCCAAAGCTTATCTAACCAAATCGATATACATATCTCGACCGTTCATCATTTTAAATAAACCGGTATAACTTTATATCACAAATGTATATTAAAATTAAACTGATTTCAGTTATAACCATTTAATTTAACTGGTATTCCATATCATTTTAATTAAACCGGTATAATTGAAACAAAGGTTATAGATGTATTTCAAAACCAACATATATAATAGAAAACATAATACTTTTATAAAATTATTAGAAAATTTAAGTGGAGAAGGTTGCCTCTAAACCGGTTAGTGTGGTTTAATTGGTACATCATGAGAAAGGTGGTCTTCATAAGATGGAGTGATGTCCACTTAACCATTATTAGGATCACCTTTACGAATATTAACTAAGATTCACCAATATATTTAATAGACTACACCAATATATATCTTCCCAAAAATAATTTTAATTAATTTAAATAATAACTTCCTGAATATAATTATATGGACAAAATATTCTACCATGATTTTCTTCAAATCTAAGAATGTCTTATTGGATCAAAGATTTAAGAGGATTTCATTTTTTTCTCAAATCCCCTTTGGTGATCAAGTATTTATAAATTCTATATGAAATCCATTTTTATAAAGATTAGTCATTTGTATAAATTCTCTCGAATTCTAGCTTATTGAAAAATATATAATTTGACAATAAAATCTTCAAATGGGACTTGATAGGGTTTGAATGATATTTTATAGTGCAAAAACAAAAAATTGAAATACCACCTCCTATAATGGTATTTGAATGTTTTGTAACAATATATTTATTATATTTTTGTCAAATTAAGATATTTTTTCATCATCAAAAATTGTTTATGTGTTTACTGTTAAATATTTTTTAAAGAATATTTATTTTGCAAAAGATG